CAGGGAAAATGAAACTTTGGCTCCATTTAGTGTTCATTGTAGCAGCTCTGGGAGGTATCCTCTCCCCTGGAAAGCATTGGCGGGGCAAAGGAGCAGTCTATTATCGCTATTACGATTAATATGATCGATAATATCTTTCTATCCCCAGGTGCCCAGTCTCAGTCTCTGATCCCAGAGTCACAAGTTTATGTGCAAAAGCCCAGAGACACTCTGTATTTCCTGCAAACCCACCGGGTTCACCCTCAGCAGCTACTCAACGAGCTGGGTCAGACAGGCTCCTGGGAAGGGACTGGAGTGGAGTGCAGAGGGGAAATACACCCAACTTCAACTACCATCAATGACACACAGGGATGCTTCACCATCTCTAGGGACAACCCCAACAACCTGCTGTATCTGCAAATGACCGGCCTGAAATACTGAGAGCAGAAAGCTATTAAGCGCAGAAGAAAAAACGAGCTGAAATGGCACAAACTTTACCAACACACTGCAGAGGGCAGCAGTGAATTAAAATCAAATACTGTTATAGTAAACTATTTCAAGGACAAGTATTAAAGGGCATGTTTGTGCACATAGAAGCAGGTAAATATGTAGGGATTTTTATGTATATTAATAATATGAGAAAATATTCTTTCAGGTCTTGTACAGCCAATGACACTACGGAGAATAAAATGTAAAGTTAAATCAATGGGACTAAGAATTGTGCTTAAATGTAAAAGGTGTCCTGCACAGAGATGGGGTTAAGCAAATGCCTCAGTGCTTTCCTGAAGCAAAGCCTAAGAAATTGTTCTAGGGTCTAGATGAAAAATACTTGAAAATTATCCACTGAGCTCCTATGTCCATTAAATTATTTGGAATATGCCCAACTCTGTAGAGGGGCAGGGGGAATCTCCCTCCGCACACTGCTCCTACCTGCAAGCTCCACCCCCGCAGCTTCCATTTGTTGGGAATGGGGAGCTGTGGCCAATGGGAGCTGCAGGGGCAGTGCTTGCAGAGAGGGGCAACATGCGGAGCCATGTGCCACCCCCTCACCCCACCCCAGAGGCCACAGAAGTTTGTTGGCCATTTCCAGGAGTAGTGTGGGGCCCAGGTAGGCAGGGAGCCTGCATTAGCCATTGGAGGTAAATGCTGCAATATACAATGCTGGTGCTTACCCAGGAGACCTCATGGGGGGCAATTTTATCGTGCCTGGGACATTCCCATGAGGCTATTTTTTGTGACTGTGACACCTTGTCTCTGTACACTTCTAGGAGAAATTCAAATACCTTTTCCACATCTTTCTTGTCTGCCATTGCCATGAGCTTAACCATGGCCTTGGCCTTGGCCTTTGAGGTGTTCCTCTATGAAGTCCATATGATCCTCTTCAGGTACTCTTAGCACACACGGACTTGCCTTCACAGACTTGACTCACTCCTCTACTGTAATGTCTCCTGGTGTTGATGGGAAGCCACCAAACTCTGTGACTTTCTGCTCCCATAGGACATAAATATTAGGGGGCTTCTTAGCTTCTGCTGCCTGATGGTCCATTACTGCCTTAGCCAGTGATAAGGCTTCTCTCTGTTCTGTTCTAGCTTGTTGTAATGCCTCAGCTTGGTCTGATCATCTGCGCACAAGTTCAGCAAAATGGGCCCATAGTTCTTCAATTCCAGCCATAGTCGGGTTCTTGACCAGGCCTGGACAGTGCTGTCAGAACTCAACCAGGAAACCAGTGGGGTGGACCCTGTGGATAGGATCCTGTTCGTGATGCCAATTCTGTAAGCGGGGGAATGGTCCAGCTACTGTGGGGAACTTTCCTGGCTTATACACTACCCCGGTGAATCATAGAATCATAGACTATCAGGGTTGGAAGGGACCCCAGAAGGTCATCTAGTCCAACCCCCTGCTCGAAGCAGGACCAATTCCCAGTTAAATCATCCCAGCCAGGGCTTTGTCAAGCCTGACCTTAAAAACCTCTAAGGAAGGAGATCTACCACCTCCCTAGGTAACGCATTCCAGTGTTTCACCACCCTCCTAGTGAAAAAGATTTTCCTAATATCCAACCTAAACCTCCCCCACTGCAACTTGAGACCATTACTCCTCGTTCTGTCATCTGCTACCATTGAGAACAGTCTAGAGCCATCCTCTTTGGAACCCCCTTTCAGGTAGTTGAAAGCAGCTATCAAATCCCCCCTCATTCTTCTCTTCTGCAGACTAAACAATCCCAGCTCCCTCAGCCTCTCCTCATAAGTCATGTGTTCCAGACCCCTAATCATTTTTGTTGCCCTTCGCTGGACTCTCTCCAATTTATCCACATCCTTCTTGAAGTGTGGGGCCCAAAACTGGACACAGTACTCCAGATGAGGCCTCACCAATGTCGAATAGAGGGGAATGATCACGTCCCTCGATCTGCTCGCTATGCCCCTACTTATACATCCCAAAATGCCATTGGCCTTCTTGGCAACAAGGGCACACTGCTGACTCATATCCAGCTTCTCGTCCACTGTCACCCCTAGGTCCTTTTCCGCAGAACTGCTGCCTAGCCATTCGGTCCCTAGTCTGTAGCTGTGCATTGGGTTCTTCCGTCCTAAGTGCAGGACCCTGCACTTATCCTTATTGAACCTCATCAGATTTCTTTTGGCCCAATCCTCCAATTTGTCTAGGTCCCTCTGTATCCTATCCCTGCCCTCCAGCGTATCTACCACTCCTCCCAGTTTAGTATCATCCGCAAATTTGCTGAGAGTGCAATCCACACCATCCTCCAGATCATTTTTGAAGATATTGAACAAAACCGGCCCCAGGACCGACCCTTGGGGCACTCCACTTGATACCGGCTGCCAACTAGACATGGAGCCATTGATCACTACCCGTTGAGCCCGACAATCTAGCCAGCTTTCTACCCACCTTATAGTGCATTCATCCAGCCATACTTCCTTAACTTGCTGACAAGAATACTGTGGGAGACCGTGTCAAAAGCTTTGCTAAAGTCAAGAAACAATACATCCACTGCTTTCCCTTCATCCACAGAACCAGTAATCTCATCATAAAAGGCCACCGCTTTTAAAATGAAATGGACTAGCAGAGGGATATGAGTCCTCGCTCCCACTACCTTTACCCCCTTAGCTTGGCCCCACTCTGATGGACCCAGGCAGTTCCAGCTCACACACAGGATGGGACCCCCCTTGCCCAGTTTACAATCTGAGTGTAAATGGGAAGTGGAGTGGGAATGAAAATATAAACAGGAAGATAAATATCAACCCTGCATAATAATATTCCTTCACTGAGGCCTGAATCCTCCTCGACTGTCCCCTAAAGAAAAGCACCCTGAGACTCCGCTCCTGGCACACGAATGTCAGGGAGGCTTCAATGCAAAACTTAACTCTGTCCTCAGACTCCCCCCCCCCCCCCCGCCAGCTTCTCCCACCTGCACCCACAGGCGGGCCCCCAGACCTGCTCCAAAGCACGAGCCAGGCTTGCTCAGATCACGTTCCTAGTGTCATGGATCATTTCAGTGTAGCCGGTCACTGCCGGGAAGGGAAAGGGGCTTCCCTCCCAAATCCCTCCCAGCGCCATGGGAAATCTTCTGCCTCCAGCGGGTGGCCCAGCCCAATGGATCCCTGAGACAAGACTTCGCGCCTCCCCCCACCGGACACTGCCCCCCTGACCGGACGTTGCATGGCCCTTATGCTTGTGGAACCGGGCTCCAGAGCTGAGTCCCCCCAGTCCCCAATATCAGGTCAAAAAAGCCAGACCCTCAGTTCCCATGGCGAGGAAATACAGTCCCTGCAGGGAGCTGTTCATTCCTCCCAGGGTCCGAAAGTGTCAGGAGGACCCCAGCGCCCTGCGCCCGGCGCTGCACAGACACACAGGACGGGACACTCTGACTCCTGCAGCCGGAGCCCTGGGGCGAGTCAATCCGATCACTGACAGCAGGAGTGTGTGTCTCTTATAAAGCGGGGCATGCAAATGAGGGGACAGTTTCCTGTTTAAATCTGTGCCTCCCTCTGCCCAGGCTGCACCCGGAGACACAATCCGCAGCCCCCTGGCTCTGTGCAGTCACCAGCCAGTCCCCTGAGAACTTCCCCCTTCAGCACCTGGCAAAATGGGATTTTTGCTCCTTGTCATTGTCGCTGTAGCAGCTTTGGAAGGTATTTTCCTCCTCTGAAGACCTGGCGGAGTTAGAAGAATATTGTGTTACCGCTGTTTTTATACCGATATTAATGGCCTGTCTTTATTCCCAGGTGTCCGGTCCCAGACGCTGGTGGAGTCCGGAGGGGGTGTGAAGAAGCCCGGAGACTCTCTCCGCCTCTCCTGCAAAGCCTCCGGGTTCACCTTCAGCAGCTACTGGATGAGCTGGGTCCGCCAGGCTCCAGGCAAAGGACTAGAATGGGTCGCTCACATAAACCCCGGTGGGAGTACTACATACTACCTCGATGCAGTGAAAGGGCGATTCACCATCTCCACGGATAACGCCAAGAGTGAGCTGTATCTGCAAATGACCGGCCTGAAGCCCGAGGACACCGCCCGCTATTACTGTGCGAGTTACACACTGAAACAAAACCGGTTTGTGATCGTACAAAAACCCAGGCTGCGGAATCGCCCTTCTCCCGGCGGCCGCGCGGGGGCAGCAGCGACACCCCCCGCTTCGGGCTCGGGCAGGAGACCCGGCACCCGGGGGAACGGGACACAAACCTCCCGCCAGTTTAACCCTTCCGTTCCCGGACTCTGAATGGCCCATTTCCCTACCCCAGAGATGGAGGGCGGGGTGTGGAAATGGGCCATGCAGGGTGCGGGCGGGGCTGGGGGGCAGAGATCACCCGGCGCCGGAATAAACCCCGCTCCGCTGAGCCCGGGGATGGGGCACCGCCGGGACTTTCCAAAGAGACTCGAGCATTTTTTCCACCCATTTGACAGCTGGAAATCACAGCCCTGGTGTGAACGGTGCCGCTCAGGATCCTGCCCCCAATAAAGTGCCCCCATGTCACAGAGTCACCATGGAGATAAAAGGCCCCGCCCCTCAGCCCCGATGGCCTCACTCAGCCCAGCGCTGGCCCGCAGGGCATTGGGGACAGTCAGGGGGCTTAGGGCTGTGGACAGGGACACGGTGGGATTTCATGGGGTCGCTCAGGGGGAGGCGGCTGCCGAGGGAGAAGCAGAGGCCCGTGCGGGGCACGAGGGTCACAGAGCGCAGCTCCCACTGAGTGAGATTCACCATCTCCAGAGACAGTCCCAACAACCTGCTGCATCTGAAAATGATGCATCTTTACACTGGTGCCTGTTGTAGATCCTAGGTGGGGAAGAGAAATTTGATCATGGGCTCTTCAGTCTGGCAGACAAAGGTACAATAGGATCCGATGCTGGAAGCTGAAGCTAGACAATGTCCAGCTGGAAAGAAGGTGATTTTTTAAAAAGACATTGAGGTGATTTAACCATTGGAACAACTGATCAAGAGTCATGGTGGATTCTCCGTCACGAGCAACTATCATCTCTATGATTCTGTGTCTTTTAGAAAATAAAGAAATGCAAAATCCATCAAGGGAGATTTAGGTTAGATATGAGGTGTGGGGGAGAAGTTTTTAAGGATAAGCATATCTAACTATCCGCATTGGAACCGGTTACCTAGGCAGGTTGTGAAATCCCCATCACTGGAGGTTTTTAAGAACAGATGAAGAGCCAGGGGTGGTAGAGGTATATCTAATCCTGCCTCAGTGCAGGGGGGTTGGCTCATTGACCTCTTGAAGTCCCTCTTCCAGCCCTACCTTTCTAGGATTCTCTGAATTTCTTGTACTCTGTGACTGAAGCAGAAGACAGTCAGAGTATTTCACTTTCTTTAGTGACTTTCTCCAGTGCAGGATCCCATTAGAGTATTCGTAGTGAAGTGAATCACTGTGGGATCCCATATCTCAAGCACAAGGATACACACTGTCATCCTCAGGTTTCAGGCTGCTGATGTGCAAATGCACCAGGTTACCTGAGGCATCTCTGGAGATGGTGAATTGCCCTTTCCCTGAGTCCAGGTAATATGGGGTACCTGCACTGTCTACACTGGAGACCCACTCCAGTCCCTTCCCAGGAACATGACGGATCCGATCCAGCCACTTGCTACTGATGAAGAAGCCGGAGGCCTTGCAGGAGAGGCGGAGAGAGTCTCCAGGCTTTTTCACATCCCTTCCGCACTCCACCAGCTGGACCTTTGACAGAGCTCCTAGGGGGGGAAAGGTATCATGAATCACAACTGGAATTTTCAAAGGGTACAGTCAAGGGGAATTAGATACCCCATTACCTAAGTCCCCTTCAAAAATGTCAATCAACATTCCGACAAGCAAAGGTGCAGAGCTATTAAATGACTTAGGCAGGGCATTAAGGATATGCATTTGCATATATATATATATATATATATATATATATATATATATATATGCCATGTTTGAGCTCTAGCCCTCAAGCTATTTTAGGTATTCATATTGTCCCCATTACTGTAGTGTTTGAACATTTAGGGCAGGGGTGGGCAAACTTCTTGGCCCAAGGGCCACATTGGAGGACCGGGTAGGGAGGGCTGTTCCTCCCCAAACAGCCCGGCCCCCACCCCCTATCCACCTCCTCCCACTTCCCACCCCCTGACTGCCCCCCTCAGAACCAGTGACCCATCCAACTCCCCCCCGCTCCTTCTCCCCTGACTGCCCCGAAGCCTATCCACCCCACCAGCACCCTCTGACAGGCCTCCTGGGACTCCCACCCCTTATCCAATCCCCCCTGCTCGCTGTCCCCCGACTGCCCCCTGGAACCCTCTGCCCCTTATCCAACCCACTGGCTCCCAGCGCCCTAACTCCGCCGCTCAGAGCGGCAGAAGCTCGCAGCCACGCTGCCCATGCTGCCCAGCAGGAGCGGAGGGCCAGAGCACTTGCGGTGCAGAGCACTGAGGCTGCCGGGGAGAGCGGACAGTGGGGAGGGGCCGAGGGCTAGCCTCCCTGGCCGGGAGCTCAGGGGCCAGATATAGCCCACAGGCTGTAATTTGCTAACCTCTGATTTAGGGTAACAAGAAAACATTTTACAAATACATTAGAAGCAAGAGGAAGATGAAGGACAGGGAAGGACCACTGCTCAATGAGGACGGAAACACAGTCACAAGACAATGCAGCAATTGCCCAAGTATTAAATGCCATTTTTGTTTAGGTTTTCTCCAAAGAGGTTAGCAGTTATCAGAGGACTAACAGTGAACATCAGTGTAAATGGGGTAGGATCTGAGTCTAAAATAGGGAAACAACAAGTTAAGAATTACTGAGACAAGTTAGACGTCCTCAAGTCAGCAGGGCCAGATGAAATACACCAGAGAATACTTAAGGGACTGGCCAAAGAGATCTTAGCGATTAAAGAATATTTTTGAGAACTCTCAGAGGATAGGAGAGATCCCAGAGGACTGGAAGAGGGCAAGTGGTACCTATCAATAAAAAGCAGAATAAGGGCAACCCAGGAATTATAAACCACTCAACTTAACTTCTGTACCTGGAAGGAATGGAGCAAATAATCAATTTGCAAGCACCTGGAAGATAAGGTGACAACTAACAGTCAACATGGATTTGTAAAGAACAAATCACATCAAACCCACCTCATATCCTCCTTTGACAGGGTAACAAGACGAGGGGATGGGGGCGGGGACAAGAACAGTAGATGTGGTATATCTCATCTTTAGTCAGACATTTCATACAGTCTCAGATCGCCTTCTCATAAGCAAACCAGGGAAATATAGACTGATGAACCTATTATAAGGTCAGTGCACAACTCGTTAGAAAATGTTCTCAGATAGTAGTTATCAATGATTCACAGTCAAGCTGGAAGGGAATATTGAGTGGGGTCCCACAGGTGTCTGTCCTGGGTCCACTTCTATTCAATAGCCCCATAAATGACTTGGATAATGGCAGAGAGAGTACATTAAAAACGTTTGCAGATTATACCAATCTGGGAGGGGTTGCAAGCACTTCAGAGACCAGGATTAGAATTCAAAATGAGCTTGACAAACCAGAGACATGGTCTGAAACACATAGGCTGCCTCCATACTCACTGTCTGTGTAGCTAAACCCAGCAGCGAAAGGCTCTGGCAGGGGGAGGTAGCAGTAAATTCCTTCCATGACCCCAAGATATCAGCCAGTTGGACCCTGAGCATGTGGGCTAGACCCACCAGCCAGACACCTGGGAAAGAGTTCTCTGTAGTAACTCAGAGCCCCCCCACCTAGTGTCCCATCACTGGCCATTGGGGATATTTGCTACCAGCAGTTGTCGATGTGCCTACAATGGCATGTGGCCATCTCATCATACCACCACCCACCATAACTTTCTCAAGCTCAGTCTTGAACCCAGTTGGGTTTTCCCTCCTTTTTAGTAT